GAACCTTGCCACCTCTACGCGGTGTTTGGGAGAAACAGTTATGGGTTGACCTATATCTGGCCAAGTGCAAGCATTTTTCGTGATTATTTACTATTTCAAGTGTAAAAAAAAAAATATTTGAATTTAAATTTGATTAATGTATTCAAAAAATATCTCTCTAATAAATAAATAAAAAAATAAAATTTAAAATATTTTTTATAAATTTCGAATGTTTAATTAAGAATTTAAATTAACACGTTTTTTTTTTTAAAAAAAAAAAGGCTTTAAACGCACCTTCTAGTATTAAAACAATTCCCCTTTCTAAATGTAATGACAGTGAATATTGAACTTGCTAAAAGTAAAGGATTACTTTAAATAATGGTCTTTTATTTGTTCAACGTTAAACTTTTCATTATTAAGAATACCCGTTATAAGTATTTATTTTCTGATAAATAAGAAATCAGAAAATGATTCTAAGAAAGCCGATTTGTAAGTAATGCGTTCAAACATATATTATACTTTCTAATTTTTCTAATTTAAATATTTTTTTTTTTTTGGTGCATTTTTCCAATAATTGGTCAGCTGTTTTCACGTGAAATTTTGATCAAATAATCGGAGTTATTATAAGCATTGTACTACAGCAATCATATAAATTGATATCATTTAACAAACGTAAAATTTCATACAAATTGACTTTACTAATAAAAAGTAAAAATAAAGAAAGAGAGAAAAAATTATGACTTCAAAAATTAATAATAGATTATCTCAAGAATTTAAGAATGATTTTTTAAATTTACTTGAAAACGATGATGAACATGATGTGATTATTAAAGCGGGTGAAGAACCAAACACGAAAAAATTTAAGGCTCACTATTATATCTTAAAGTTAAGATCACCATATTTTCGTCAAGCATTATCAAGTAGATGGGCGATTAAAGAAGATGGGAAATCTGTTTTTACGAAACCTAATATTACGCCAGAAACATTCAATATCATTCTCAAGTGAGTCAAAAAAATCAAGAAAGTTCTTTTTGTTTTAATTAAAATTTGTATTAACTTTTTTTTCTCAATAAAAAAAAAAAATAATAATAATAAATTTCTAGTTACATTTATTCATCAGATATTGATGTAGAGAAGTTTAATGAAGCTCAAATTGTGGATGTTTTAGGAGCAGCGGATGAATTATGCCTTAGTGTTTTAGTTGAAGTGTTACAAGAAGAATTATTAGATAGAAAGCATATATGGATGAACAAACAATCGGTATTAATTTATAACGCTGGGCAGAAATTTCCAACGTGTACAAAGCTTGCCGAAACAATGGAAGAAGCCCTTTATCAAGAACCGGAATTATTATTAAAATCAGATGATTTTACATCATTAGAAGAAGATACAATTATATGGCTTTTACAAAGAGATGATCTCGGTATGGGAGAATTGGAACTCTGGAAACGTATAGTACAATGGGGAATAGGTCAATTGCCAACTAAAACGATTATACCAGATGTTGCAAGGTGGCCCGATGAAGATTGCGTGAAATTAGAGAAAGTTTTACGTCCTTTGATCCCTTTTATTAGATGGTGTAATATGTCTCCCGTTGATTTTGAAAGACAAGTTCATTCTTATAAAAGAATTTTACCCACAACTTTACACAAGCCCGGTATTAAAGGAAAATCATTATATCTTATAACAAAAGAATACACGCGTGGACATGCAAGAATTCAATCTGTTCTCATTAAGCCTCATCATGCGGCAAAGATCGCAAGTTGGATTGATAGATTGGATTCCTCAGATAATCAAATCCCATATTACACACCATCAAATATACCATATTATTTTAAACTCGTTGCTCGTGGAAGTCGTGATCAACCATTCCTTCAACAAACTTTAAATGATAATCGGGCCGTTGTATTAATTAAACCTGCCAATTCCAATGAAATACTTGGTGGTTATAATCCTTTAACTTGGAGTAAAAAATCTATCTCTTCAAATTCAAATAAAGATCAGCAAAGTAATAAAGATGATATTCCTCTTAAAAATAGTTTTATTTTTAATTTGAGAAAAGATCCTGATGATAAGGAAGATATTTTAAGTAGAGTCATTAATCCAATAGATTCTATTTATTGTAATGTTTATTGCTCCCCTGTATTTGGTAAGGGTGATTTATTCCCCAAAGGTCATTTTGAAATTGGTCAGCCTTGTGGCTGTAAACAGACTAGCTATGAAAAAAGTTTACGTGCGAGTACCGATCAATTTCCTATTGAAGAATTTGAAGTTTTTCAGATTATTAAAAAGACAGTACTTTGATGTTCGAATGTTCGAAGATCCGTTTTATTCAATCTTATTAATAATTAATTCTTTATAGAACATTAAAATTTTTTTAGGTTTTAAGCTTATTTCAATAACATTGATCTTTGTCGTTCCCCTCCAAAAAAATTGGTTTCCTTACATTTCAACAACTCCACTTATCCAATGCTTTTCCAATTCTTTTCTAACAATTTTAAAAATGTCAACAATTCTATTTTCTAATCTATTGGCCACCATTTCTAATTTATTCCAATCACCAAGATTTCCTTCAATAGTTGCTTCCTCTTTATTATCTGTGGAATTCATCTCGTTTGGTTGATCTTCAAGCATGTTAATCAAATTTTTATAATCTTCCTTGATAATATTTAATTGGCTCGTTAGGTCAACAGACGTTATTGGTTGTACTTTATTTAAATTTCGTTGGAAGGTTGTGTTAGATTGGAAAAAGATAATTTTTAAACAAAGTTCTTCAAATTCTTACCAGATTTATTATTATTGATTGTCACGTTTGATTTCATTGAAGATGAAACGGATGATTCGGAACTTGTCGGAGGATTATCTACACAAAAATCTTGTAATCTTGATAATAATGCCGCCTCAACGAGTAATAAGACTTCAGCTGTACGACATGTAATCCTTATTTCGACAGGTGTTGAATCGACTGGAACTCCATTCGAGCATTCTATCAGATCCACTATGTGGAAAAAAAAGTGTGCGCGAATCGACGCGTATTGAGAATAGTTGAAAAAAACAAAGATTCAATAAAAGGAATTACAAAAATAAAAGGATAATTTACCTTTTTTGAGATTCAAAATAACAGGCTCAAGACTCATTGAAGTTGTAAATACTGCATAATCGACGGATTTAATAATTTCCTGCAACTTTTCTCTATTTATCAAAGAAAAAAAAATAAATAAATTTTCCACATCATAACGAAACGAACCTTTATTAACTTACGTTTCAACATTTTCTCCTAGCAACACTGATAAACATCGTTTCCAAGCTCCGTCATAACCATTATTCCCTTTTTCCAAGTCAATTACTTCTGAAATATCACCTGATCTCAAGAAAAATTTTATAAACGTTGAGTTAATATTTAATGATGATATAAAATCTGCATAGGGTCTAAATTCCTATGAAATCAAATATAGTGAGTGAGAATTATTCAAGCAAATAAGAATTTATATAAATAAATATATATGTATATTACCTCGTTTGGTTTGCTCATAAGTTTTTCAATAAATTTTCTTAAATCTCCCTTGGTAGCAAAAAAATTCCCATCAAATGGTGTGATGAAATCAGGTAAAGAAGGATACATTGTAAAATGACGTTCCTGTTGTAATCTTTGTAAAATGTGCTGAGGACATGGATTTATAAAATCCAATATATCATACTGTAAATTCACCAAAGGAAAATAAGTTGCCTGCGCTAGCAAAAGAAACAAATATATAATGTCAGAAGATATTCACGTTATTTTATTTGATTCGAATGCCTTCTATATTTACGTTGATATTGAATTTCGTTCGTATGATCTATTGGCGTTGGAGGTGCAAAGCATAATGCAAGTTTAATCATGATGGGAAATTGTAAAAATCGTAAATTTATTTCAATGTCTCGCTCCCTATGCAATTTTTAGATTCAAAAAAACGAAAAAAGAAAAAAGATATTTTTTAATTTTTTTGAAATTTCAATAAAAGCAAAAACTGTTAAATTTACCATGCGGACGTCATATCCAATAATGATACGGAATAACATAAACTCTCTTGTTTATCGTTTTCATGATTCGAAGAACCAATAGTTTTATGATGTGTCATGGTAACAAGTACTTTAAAATATTAAGGGTATTACAATATTAAGGGTATTACAATATTAAGGGTATTACAATATTAAGGGTATTTATAAAATATTGTTTGATGTATAAAACACATATATCTTGTTTAAAGATTATAAAGGATACATGACCACCATTTTGACCATTGAATTCCAATTCTGCTCGTTAAACGAATTCTTAAAAATATCCTTTGCGTAACACTTCCATTCATAGAAATTGGCATAATTATCGGAAAGTATTCCACAATTAATGGCAAATTATTTTCATCTAACTGTTGGTCAGTTTCACGTTTTTGATGTACGCGTTGCAATTCATGAATAACTTCATTACGAACAATTATTGCAGGATTTAATTCCTAAAAAAAAAGAAATGGATCCAATAAAGTTAGATAAAAACAATACAAGTGAATTAAAAGCTAGTATTTCCTTTTTTTTTTGAGTTGATACCGCATTAAGTTTGTCCAACGCTACTTGCTTGGACGTTAATTCTTTGATAATAATCGTTTGCTTGTGAATTTCTTCCTTCAATTGTTCAACGCTCATCATTTGTTTTGGAGTTTGGTCGCTACCAAAAAAAAAAATTAATATCTGTAAATACAATTAAATTTTACATGAATATTTTTCTTGTAAAAAATTGATTGAACCTTGTGACTGAAAATTGAGATCGAATTAATCTTCCACCAACTGTTAAAGCATACAATATTCCATCAAATGAACCCACTTCAGAAGTGATATAATGACACAACCTAATGGTTCCCTTTGGAAAAATTACAGGAATTGTGTGCAAAGGAACGAATTTTCCTACAAAAACAATAAAAAGAATAAGAGTAAGAATAAAGTCTCTTTATTGATTTTTTGTTAAACACGCAATAAATCAATCTCTCATTTACCATCCGAAAACATGTTTCTATCGAAATTTATAACAATTATGCGACCTTCTCCAGCTGTTACAACCAACCGATTCTACAGAATAAACGAACAAATTAAACTTCAATCCTTCTTAATTTTGATTGATTTTGAAGATTATAACTTTTACCTTATAAACAAACGAGGAATGAACTGGGTTCGGGACAAAATACTCTTTATAAGCCAAAGTTAAAGAAGAATTTTTAGAAATCACTGTAGATAATAAAGATATTGTTCCTTTTACGCTATAATATATATATATGTATATTTATTTAAGTTTATTTAAAAAGAAAGTTTAATTGAGAATCTGATTAAAATGACTTACCCAACTATGAGCAATGTATTGTGAACAGTGGACAATTTAGGTTTGGGTCGAAATAAACTAGATCCTAATCTAGTTTCTTCATCTTGTTTTAAATGTAACGTATAAATGGCTTGAATAGATTCCTGTAATTTATCAAGTGATTTTAATAAATACGAGTGAGTAAGAAAATATCTCATCAAAATACTTACATTCAATGAAGTGAATATATCAGATTCAACATTTCCCTTAAAAAAATAATGAAATGACAGTATGCCACTCGAATAACCAGTTATCAACAGATCTGTATCATAACTGGATAAAGCATAAAGATAAACTTCCTTTTGAAATATATATCGAAGATGAAAAAAATTATATTAATGAATTACTATATAGATCCAAAAGTGGCTTCAGCTAGTTCTTTAGAAATCAATGTAATATTTGGTGAATCTGTGATAACTTCTTTTGTCGAATCATGAAGACGAAGTGATTATAATATGTCAAGAATAATTATAATGAAAACAACTTCAAAGAACAATTGAGTTAATGAAATAAAGGATATCAGTCAAAAAACATGTAGCATTTTTTTTATATTCTACTTCAGTATTATCAATTGGTACGAATAAATTATATTCTGACACTATTCCATCTTTTAATGATAAAAATCCGATTTCTCCATCTTTTTTTCCAAGTAAAATTCCATTATCATTGAACAAATTACAGGGAAATAGCGAACAAAGTCCCTCCTTTGAAAAGATTAGACATTCACTCCCAGCAGTAAATATAGGAGGAGTAGTAAACAAATTATAATAACCATTATTTGATAGATGAGATATTTTCTGTGAATAATTACTGTCAAATACGTTATTTTTTCTGATTTGTCTTGATTGCATTGGTGATGTATTTTCATTGCTTTGATGAGAATCAAAAGTTCTGATATAAAATTAAGTAATAGTTATTTTTTTTGTTAAATAAATGATAATAATAACAATACATTAAACTAAACAAACCTTTTATTTCTTTGAACATTAGATTGAATCTTCCATATAGATCCATCCTTTGTCAAGACTAAAAAGGACATGTTAACATTTGATTTTTCCGATGTTGAATATGAATTAATCGAATCATACAAAAAGTCTTGACATATATCAATTGGATCAAACGGAAATTTCCAAATTTCTTTAAGAGTTTCTTTACAAAACACGTGAATTTTAAATGGAATTATTTTAACCACCATCCAATCTTGATTTATTCCTACATGTTTGATTATGATGTTACTTAAAGGTCTGGGTAAATCGTAGATATTAATAATATTTGCATCCATATTTTTAGAAAGTTGAATAAGTAAATAAAATTCGTTAGTTAAAGGGTTTTTAAATAAAAAAGAAAAATTGAGGATTGCCGATTTTTATACCTAAAGAGGTATTCTGTAGGCTGCCTAATATACTAAAGAAGTTAAATTTCGTTACGTGATCTTTCACGGGTTTTTGCACAGATCATTTCCAAAATTTGCATAAATGCTTCTACTAGTGATTATTCATTTTGAAATCAAAAATAATCGAATATCTTTAAATTGTTGCTTTTATTTCTTTACACGAATAAAAAAGATGTAGTATGCAAAGAACCAATGTTATCAAAAAAGTTAATTATAGATTTTTGAGCAGATTAACGTTCAGTCGCGTCACAAATTAACGACCGATCAAAATTTTATAAAAAAAATAGAAAATTTTAAGGCTTGCATTTTTCTTTACAAATATCTCTGAATTATATATCAATCTATGGCTAATCAAATGAATTTTCAAAAAGTCCTAGACTTAAGATGCACTGTCTATTATTATAAAAAAAAAATTTTACATATATAAAATTGAAATTTCAAACCATTTATACAATCGTATTACTGTTAAAATTATTACAAAAACTTAATTAGTTTTAAAATTTATAAAAATTTTTTTATATACATTTTACTATATAATTTCAAGGCGCAAGCATTACAGTTCCAAAAGATCTTGTGTAACCGAATATTGATCGAAAAAATCGATTGTCGAAAATTTTTTGATTGGTTCTTTAAAGCTATAGATTCGTAGCTTTCTAATGTTAGCTTATTAAGAGCTTACATCACTATTGTAAAGTCTGCCACCCTTAATCATATTGCATTCTGTAAATTCCTCTTTCTTCTTATGGCCAGTCACTTTGTTTTGTAATTATAAACTTGAATTCGATATTTATGAATTTCTCTATTTCAAGCCTGGACAATACAAGTTTATCATTGACGAAGATTCATACAAGATCTTCTCTGAAAGCATGCATATTTCGATTTCCAATTTGCCTCAATTTGAAATTTCAAGTTGGATTGCCCGAATAAAATTTGGATTTGATATTGAGGAAGCTAGCAAATTTTTGCCGAAATAAATAAGGAAATAATTATCTATTATTTGGATCCACCTTCTGCCATTCGCAAATCAAATTTCTTGAAAACATCGGAGTATCCTAGAGGAATATATATTACCTAGAATATGGTTTCGCAATAGGAAGTGCAAGGAGAGAAACACGAAAAATAGATCAACTCAAGAAAGAATTATGCGAAGATAATTGGGTTGTTTTGAGATATATGAAGACTCACATATTGTTATTCCAGAGAATCTTCGAGAGTTGAGTCTCATTGAATAAACTCAAAACTTAAATGTTTTTGCAATTCCCTGTTATTTTATTCATCTGTAATTGTTACATAAACATATTTTTATTCCCCCCTCCCCACAACACCCGCATTCAACATAAACATGCTTCTATACTTCCTTCGGTTCACACCTGTTTTTTGTTTGTCTAAAATATTTATTCTAACACATTATATCCAATATTATCATAAATCAGATAATAGTTCTTAAAATTAACCTTAAGAAAGGCTCGTTATTTAACAAGGCCGGGAACAAAAATAATAGTCATTAGTTACAAGTCTCCATTGTAAAAATACTCGTACCAAATTTGTGTAATCTCCTTTCTCAAAATTTTTGTTACTTCAGAAAAATTGACTTGTCGTTAAAATTAGCATCTTGATAGTAATTTGTCGAATATTATTGTGCATTTATTTTTCCAGGTTGATACTAATGGTCGAAGAAAAAAATTTTTTCAGTATTAGATTAGTAGGTCACATTACGCGACCACCCAGAGACCTACTTTTATTTTAAACCCATTTTTTGATCATCGATGAATGAATTAAGTCAAGTAAGAGTATTTAAAAAGTAACATTTCTTTATAACTAGTTATCACAACAATGTCAAATTGATCAAATGATAAAAATGATAAAAAAAAAGATCTGATAAATGGTCATCAGTTGATTTTACTAGAAACGTTCCAATATAATAAAAAGAATTGATTTAATTCATGTCGTATATAATATCAACTTCATTTAAGGACGAGCCATCATATTAAGCACAAGATTAAATTCGAGCGTCCATTCACACCTAAGAGGTAAGTGCTCATTCTATTTCATTATATAATAAATCAAAGTTTGGTTAGCATCCCAATTAATTATGTATGGAGCTTGTTCAGGTCTTTGATTTTGTTGTTGAGTCGCCGGAACTGTGAATACCCCAGGAAAAGGATTCTGATGAAAGCGATTTGTTGAATTAGGAAGAGCGATTCCAATAAATTCGACCGCACGATGAGTTCGCTGAACATTAGTAATTCTCCCAACGATCTGGATCTCAGTTATAAAATATCTGCAAGGTTCAAACCTGATAAGTAAAGCAATTTACAATTCTTTTCTGCAAGAATTTATTTACCTCAATATATACGTTTGGTGGTGGACACTACATCAGGTTGATAACTATTGCCTCCAGCCACACATGTTGTATTTAATGATACGGACCAAGTTGGATTATGTGATCAAAAGTTCAGCTTGAACATCTCCTTTATTTTTTCCATCGCACTAAATAAATTGGTCAGATTTAATAATACAGGTAAATGTAAATGTAATTTGGAATAAAAATTTACCTTAATAAATATGTCACCATTGATTATTTGAGCATTATAATTACTATGTATGGCCTCATGTACTGTATGTGTTTATCAACTTTTTCAAGATCTTGGATATTAATCTTTATAATGTTTTGACCTTGCATTTGCATTAATGAGTCATCGATCTTTGCAAAAATCTATCATACTTCGTTAGCCATAATTGCATTTCTTAATTTGTTTTAAATATCACTTAAATACCTGGTTAATTTTGGAAGCTTGTCTGGTCTCCCGAGTCACTTGGATGGGCATGTCTTCCAAGCCTTCTGTTGCGACGCTCATTTTGTTAGGATTAAAGGAAAATGACAAACAGGAAACAGAACAAATGGTAACAGAAAAAAATCCTTTAGTACCTTTCCATAATAAATCGCGAATGTCCTAGAACTATTCGGAATACTACGTCACCTCATTTTTTTCATAAAATTGATTGGATAACAATCAATCATGAGAAAGCAAAACTATGATGTAAGCCAACTCTATATAGAAAAATAACTCGAGGTGTTGCGCCATATATATTTCAAAAAAAAATATTTTTAAATGGTTTATTCTAAACATATCTTTTATTAGTACAGTCAAACCTATATATAACGATATTATATATATCGATAATTGCATGTATCGATAAATTTTTCATGTACCATTTTATTATTAATTAAAAAACCTTTATATATTGATATTACATATGATTTCACAATGTAACATATACCGATATTTTTCTTTGTCCTTTTATAATTAATATATAGAAAGATTTACCGATATTTCAGATTACACCAGTATAAATTCATACTTAACATGACATAATGCATCTTTATTTGCATTAGAATCATATCTCAACTACAGATAAAAAAAATTCAACAGAGAAAAGAGTTGTTTTAACATACGCAAAAAAAAGACAACTCTTATTAAAAAAATAAAAATAATAATATTAATAATAATAAAAAAAAATCATAATAACGATAAGAACAAAAAATAATAACAACATTTGTATATTTTTATATTACGTAACCACGATCACGATCACAAACACAAACATAATCACGAACTTAAGTGATATTTGTATGCGATCACATGTTTACGACATTTTTGAAATTAAAACAAAAAAACGTGTGTGCAAAACAAAAGAAAAAAACTATATAATAAAGTAGGGTCCATAGGGGTGGTGGTTGAAGGCGTGGTGGTAAAATATAAGTATTTTTTTTGCCCGCATTTCGTAAAATTCAAAGACACTTTTGTCTCTAATAAAACTAACTCAAATTTTATTCAATTGCTATGTTTAAAT